ACACCACATATTCTCACTCATAGGCTGCTGTTGAACAATGAGAACACATGGACACAGGGAGGGGAGCACTACACACTGGGGTCAGTTGGGGGGAAATAGGGGAGGGATGGTGGGGAGTGGGAAGTTGGGGAGAGATAGCAAGGGGAGAGATGCCAGATGTAGGTGATGGGGAGGAAGGCAGTAAAATCACACTGCCACGTGTGTACCTATGCAACAATCTTGCATATTCTTCACATGTACACCAAAACCTAAAATGCAATAAAATAAATGGAAAAAAAAATAGACTGCAAAAGTTAAGGTATGTGTAATGTAAACCCTAAAGCAAAAAATTAAAGAACAAAAAAATTTTTAAGCCAATATATAAATTAAAATGGAATACTAAAAACATTCAAAAAATCTAAAAAAACTCAAAAACAGAGAAAGAGGGGAACAAAAAAGCAGAGAATACAAACAGAAAATAATAAAATAGTAGGCAAATCCAATCATTTCAATAATTATATTAAATATAAATGGTCTAAATATACTAATTAAAAGACATCATGTCAGATTGAATAAAAATACAATTATTGTACACACTGGCTATAAGAAATTCACTTTAAATATAATGATATAGACATATTAAAAGTAAAAGCTGCAAAAGTCATATAATGCAGATACTAATCAAAAGAAAGCTGAAGCTGATATATTATTATCAAAGTAGACTTCAGAACAAAAAACTTTCTAGGTACAAAGACATTACATAATGATAAAATGTCAATTCACCAAAAAGACATAATAATCCTAAATGTGTTGTACCTAGCAACAAAGCTCCAAAATGTATGAGGTAAAAAACTGATAAAAACCTTGAAAGAAAATAGACAAATTCACAATCATAGTAGAAGATAGTAACACTCCTTTATCAAGAATGTTCCTCAATAAAAGAAGAAGACAAAAATCAACAATGATACAGAAGACCTTAACACTAACAACCAACTTGATGTCATTGACATTCATTGACTACTCTACTTAACAAGAACAGAATACATTTTCTTTTCAAATGCGCATGTATCATATACCAAGATCAACCATATTCTGAAGTCAAATAACAAATTTTAGGAAACTGAAAAGAAAGAATATCATACAAAATATATTCTCAGATTGTGCCAGAAATGAACTAAAAATCAATGACAGAAAGTTATCTGGAAAGTTCTCAAATATTTGGAACTTAAACATCAGAATTCTAGATAACCCATGCATCAAAGATGAAATAACAGGAAAATTATAAAATATTTTAATCTGAATAAAACTTAAAATCCAACATATCAAAACTTGTAGGATGTAGGTAGAGCAGTGTTTAGAAGAAAATTTAGAGGATTAAATATTTACATATTAAAAATAAGGCCTCAAGCCAATAATCTAAGCTTACAAATAGAAAATCGCAAATTAAATACAAAACAAGCAGATAAAAGATAAAAATAAAGAGCAGAAGTCAATGAAATGGAAAATAGAAAAGCAATAGAGAAAAATCATTGAAATCAAAAGTTGATTCTTTGAAAGAATCAGTATAATTGATGAAACTATAGTCAGAATGACCAAGATAAAAAAAGAGAAGACACAAATCACCAGTATCATAAATAAAATAGGGATGTCACAAAAGGCCCTATGGACATTAAAAAGGTAATATGGAAAAACAACCAACAATGTCATACATATAATTTCAGTAACTTAGATGAAATAGATCAGTTCCTTTAAGGACACAAATTGCTAAAGTTCACTTAAAAATTAACAGATACCCTGAATAGCCACCCTATATTTATTAAAGTAATTTTGCTTTTAAAGCTTTCTATAGGTCGAGCGAGGTTGCTTATGCCTGTAATCCCAGCACTCTGGGAGGCTGAGGCGGGCAGATTACCTGAGGTCAGGAGTTTGAGACCAGGCTGGCCAACATGTCAAAACCCTGTCTCTACTAAAAATACAAAAATTAGCTGGGTGTAGTGGCACATGCCTGTAATCCCAGCTACTCAAGAGACTGAGGTAGGAGAATTGCTTGAACCAGGAGGCGGAGGTTGCAATGAACTGAGATCACGGCACTGCAGTCCAGCCTGGGAGACAGATCAAGACTCCATCTTAAAAAAAAAAAAAAAAAAAAAAAAAAAAAAAAAAAAATTCTACCAAGAAAACTCTAGGTGAGAGGGTTTCACTGGCTAAGGCTACCAAAAATTTAAGGAAAACAATACCAATTCAACAGAAAATAGAAGAGAATGCTTCCCAACTCATTAGGCCAACATTTTTCTGATAAAGCAAAAAAAAAAACATTACAAGAAAGGAAAACTACAGACCAGTAACCCTCATGAGTATAGATGAAAAACTCTTCAACAAGATACTTGCAAATTGAATCCAGCAATATTGAAAAAGAATAATATGTTATGTCAAGCAGAGTTTATCCCAGGAATGCAAGACTGGTTCAACATTTGATATCAATGTAATTCACCATATTAACAAAGCAGTCTAGAAAGAGACCCACACAAATACAGCCCATTGATTTTTTACAAAGGTGCAAAGATAATTGAATGGAGAAATTGATCTTTTAAAAAAAATACTGTTGGAACAATTGACTATCCATATGTAAAACAAACAATCTTCAGTTCATACATTATACCTTATATAAAAATTAACTCAAAATGGATTATAGACCTAAATATAAAACATAAACTATAATAAGCTTTTAGAAGAAAACTTAGGAGAAATTTTTGTGACATTGGGTTAGGCCAGGGATTCTCAATCTTGGCACTATTGACATTTTGGACTTCATAATGATTTGTTATGTGGAACTGTTTTGTGCATTGCTGGGTGTTTACCAGCATCTCTGGCCTCAACTCACTAGATGGCAGTAGCACCCACTCCCTAGTCCTGATAATAAAAAATGTCTCCAAACATTGTCAAATGTCCCCTGGGGGGCAAACTCATCTCTGGCTGAGATTCACTGGGTTAAACAAAGGGCTTTTAGACATGATAACAAATCACAGTGCAGAAAAGAAAAAACCTATATCAATTAGACTTCATCCAAATACATTTTATTCTGCAAACACACTGTTAAGAGAATAAAAAATTAAGCCACACACTGAAGAAAATATTTCAAGTCACATATCTGATAAAGGACTTATAACCAGAATAAAGAACTCCCAAAACTCACAATAAGAAAACAATCCAACTTTGAAATGGGCAAAAGATTTGGATACTTCACCATAGAAAATATATGAATGGTAAATAAGCCATGAAAAGATGCTCAACAACTTTAGTTATTAGGGAAATGCAAATTAAAATGATAATGGGATATCACTACTTGTCTATTGAATGGCAAAAAAAAACAAAAAGAACAAAAACCAAACCCTGACAATATCAAATGCTAACAAAGATGTGGAGCAACTGGAACTCTCCTACACTGTTGGAGGGCATGCGTAATGGTACAGCTACCTGGGGAGACAGCTGCCAATTTCTTACAAAGTTAAACATGCATTTACTATAAAACCAGGCAATCCAGCTCTTAAGTATTTACCCAAGTGAAATGAAGACTTATGCTCACATGTATGCCTGCTCACAAGGATTTACAGTAGTTTTATCATAATCAGAAAAAGCTGAAAACAATCCAAATGTCTTTCAGTGGGTGAATGGATAAACAAATTTTGCCCATTCATGCCATGTATTATATACAGAAAAAAATTAACATTGGGAGAATCGCTTGAAGCCAGGAGTCAGAGGTTGCAGTGAGCTGATATTGTACTACTGCACTCCAGCCTGGGTGAAAAAGCGAGATCCTGTCTCAAAAAATAAAAATAAAAACAAAAAAATAAAGATAAATCCAATGATGTCACTTCCTTATGGAATGGCCTCTATAACACTATCAAGGCTACATAACCAAATTCCTGACTACATCTCGGTCCTCAATTCACATCATTGTCCCATTCTCCACCACACTCCAGCCTCACTGACCTTCTTACTGTCTCACACATATCAACCTCACTCCTGTCTCAGTGCCTTTGGACTTGCTGTGCCCTCTGCCTGGTGTTCCCTCCCGTCTGTTCCTGGCCACCTGTTTCTCATCCTTTGTGCCTCCGTTTCAATATCATCTCCTCAGAACCGCCTTCCCTTACTCTCTACCATAGCCCATCCCACCCCACTTTCCAGCCACTTTCTATCCCAGAGGCCAGGCAACATTTTCTATAAAAGAGACAGGTAGTAAATACTCAAGGCTTTGCAGGCCAGACCCTCAATGTGTCCACTGTCATGAGGAAGCAGCTATGGATGATATGGGAATGAGTGCGTATAGCCGTATTCCCAGAAAACCTGATTTATGCCTACCAACATTAATTTTTTTTTTTTTTCTTTTTGAGATGGAGTTTTGCTCTTTTGCCCAGGCTAGAGTGCAGTGGTGAAATCTTGGCTTACTGCAACCTTCACCTCCAAGGTTCAAGTGATTCTCTTGCCTCAGCCTCCCAACTAGCTTGGATTACAGGCGCCCACTACCAGGCCCGGCTGATTTTTGTATTTTTAGTAGAGATGGGGTTTCACCATATTGGCCAGGCTGGCCTCAAACTCCTGACCTTGTGATCCACCTTCCTTGGCTTCCCAAAGTGCTAGGATTATAGGCGTGAGCCACTGTGCCTGGCTAACATTTAAATTTTTATATCATTTTGCCTGCCATGAAATCTTTTGATTTTTTTTCCCTTCAAGCACTTAAAAATATAAAAAGCATCATTAGCTCACCCACAAAAAATTGACAGCTTGGCCAAATTTGGTCCACAGCCAACCCCTGTCCTAACCCATTACTCCAATTCTTTTCTTCCTAGCCCACATCACTGCCTAAAATTATTTCATTTGTTCATGTGTTTATCGCCTCGCTTTACTTGCCCTTGGAATTTAAGCTCCAAAAGAGAGGGGCCCCATCTGCTGGGTTCACTATCCTGTGCCCACTGCCCATCCCAACACCCAATGCTGCGGAAGACATGAAGGACCAAGCCAACCTGGATTTGACCCTGGCTTTCGTGTGGATTCTGGTGATCTTCTTCCGAACTGGGCTCACAGGAGATGACCCAGGCTCATCCTTCAAAGTCTCTGCAATTAAGGATTCCGGTTGGGGTGACTGAGATCGTAAAAGACTTTCTCCTGAGTATAAGCCTAGGTTGGGGACCCGCTCGGGATGAGTTCCAGATCTCATGTTGAACCGAACAAATTCTGTCTCCTCTGTTTTGGTGGGATGTTCAATGGTGAACAGACCTGTTAACAGAAGACGCCACTGTCATTTTCCCTTCATGGCCAGGACTCTTCTGCCCCTAGTCCCAGACTGGAAACATAGAAGCATACCTCTCGGCTCACCCCCATCGCCTCCCCTCCACACTCACTGGTTCTCAGCACCTCCCCTCTGCTTCCAGTACAGTGCTCCTGTCCCAGGGCAGTCACTCATCAGTGACACTGCCAAGCAGTGGGTTGTAAGAACGTAAGAATGCATAGGTCTCCTTTCTACTCATTCTTCAAGACACCTAGCTTCAATCTCACTCTTCCCACCCAGGCTGGAGCCTGTTTCCATTCAGCCTGTGTTCTCCCCAGCACCTAATGTAGAGGCTAGCTCCACAATGCATTCCTTGTCCATGGACAGTGCTATTCCCTGTGTCTCTAGCTGTAAGTTGATTCCATCTACTTTCTTTTTCTTTGTTGTATTATATTTATTTATATTTTTGTCTTGCTTTCTCTACTAGACTAGAAAACTTCTAAGGCCAGAGACCTCTCGTCTCTTCACTCACCAGCATTTCTGCATGTGGGTGCTGAGCATGCAGAGGTACCCCAAGACAGAATTCCCAGCCTCTGGAAATTCCCAGCCGGGGAGCAGGACAGGGGACATAGTCACAATGCTAAGTAGTAAGATGTATAACTAGAACATGTATAAAGTGCTATGGTATCCTTTCTTTCACTTGTGTGGGAAAAAAAAAGAAAAAATAAATAATTAAGTGCTATGGGAGCCCAAAGGAGGTGTGACTCATTCTGCTAGGGAAGTAAAGGAAGGCTTCCCAGAGGAGGGGTCAATTGAAGTCTCCAGGGACAAGGAGAAACTCCCCAGAGAGGCAGTGGAGGAAGCACAGCCCCTCCATGCTCAGCCAGGTGGTGGCGCAGAATAGGGGTCAATGTCTCCTTGTTCCCAGGCCCATCAGCAGTGAGGGGGGGAGCTCAGACATGGAAGGATCTTGAGGCCACCCATGCTGGCCTTAGGGGATGTCTGCGGGAGACAGCCTGGAGAAAAAAAAGCAACTGCTTTTTCTCTTCTGAGATCCACAAAAAGAAGAAGGGAGCAGGGGCTCCAGATGGATGATGGGTGATATGAGAGTTGGAGCTGAAAGGTGAATGTAGGTGTCGGTGGACAGCAAGAGGGACACAGCCACTGAGAGACCCAGAAAAATAAGATAATCACATGGGGACATGCAAGACACACTGGGAGAGAGCTCAGAAATGCCAGTGGGCCCAGGTCACTATTCTTAGCTGTGTGGCCTTAAGTGACATGAGACCAATGATCCCACCTAAAATGGGGAAATTTCTCTACCATGCCTACTTCCCTGGAGATTCAGATTGAAGATGGAATGGGTGGTTCTTGAAAAAAGGTCTGTCCCTTGAGATGGCCTATCAGAGTCAAAGGACTGGGGAAGCCAGCAGATAGGCCTTCGCCCACCTTTTAGCCTCCTTACCTGCGGCCAGCAAGATAGAATTAATGAACTGAGCCGCTGTCTTCTGAAACCGCTTCTTGATCTCAGCCAGGGCTCGGCTCATCTTATACACCTTGTCGTCCATGTTGCTAATTTTGTGGTTCAGCTGGAGAGAGGCAAAGCGGGAGGGCAGGTGTCACTGGCCCCTCAAGGAGCCAGCTGCCTAGCCCAGGATAACAAAGACTTGCTCTGGTTCGGAGGATGTGCTATTATCCCCCCATCCCTACCTGGAACACACCTCTCTCCCTCTCAGCCCAGTGAGTTCCTGCACATGGGCCCAGGCCTGACTCACGGCCCCTCCTTGGAGGGTTTTCCCTGATTCAACTGGGCAGAACTACTCTTTGCCTTGGACTCTCATCATGCTCAATGCAGCTTGAAGATGGAAGTTAACACTTTGCCAAGTGATAGCTGTTTGAGCATGTCTCCCCACTAGACTGCAAGCTCCTAGAAGGAAGGGACTGAGTCTTGGTCTCCTGTGTGTTTGAGTGTCTGTCATGCAGGTGCTCAGAAAATGCATTCATAAGTGGATGATAAAGCCCTTTGCAGAACTTTCTCTGCCACGCTCCCTCTGCAGCGGATGCTGCGGTGCATCCCCCAGGAGCCCCTTCATCCCTCCAGCTGCCAGAACAGTGGCTGCTGACAGTGCCCAGCTGAGAACCTGCCTCTCGCCAAGGTTACAGAGGTTGACTGGTCATTGTAGGCCACAAAGGCCCAGGCGTCTTGCTTCCATTCAGGAATATGTTGAAGGATCATTCTGGCTCCAGGGCTCCCTCTGGGATCACTGAGGCCTCTGCCATGGCTGCCCTCTCCCTCTGCATTCCTTCAGACCCTCAAAGGGGCTATTCCCAAGAGCAGTCCCCAGGAAACTCCTGCATACTTGGCTCCATCCCACAGTCTGTTTCCCAGGAGACCCAACCTAAGACCTGCTGTGAACAACTAGGGCATGTCAGTGGCACTGCAAAACCAGGCCCGGTTTTCAGAGGTAGTTAGTTATATTTGGTCTTTTTCTCTAGGAAGCCTTCCCTGATTTCCTCAGCTAACAGCAACTGCTCCCGCTGCTGAACTTTCACACATGTCCCTTCCTGTCCTTTCTGCTGTTGGTCCTGGTCATTTTTTTTTTTTCACTTCCTTTGTCCCTAAATTCAGTTAGCTCTTTGAGAGAAAAATCTATCATTTCTGCATCTCCCATGTAACACAGAGAGGATAGGAAAAAAATTCTCTTCTGTGGAATTTAAGCCTCAAGTGGCAAGAGTGGGGTGGGCAGTATCAGATTTCCTGATGAACAATGAAGTCTGCCCACGAGTCCTTTATGCCGCAGGCAGGAAATCTGTAAAGGACGTCCCGACAAATGGCAAAGCCTCAACCATCTTTCTGATTCGTGGCCCCAGTGGCTGCTCCTGAGCTTATTTATTTATTTATTTATTTGAAATTTATACCCACCCCACTTCCAAAAAAGACCTGGGGTGGCACACTGGGCTAATAAAGCATTTAAACAGAGGCCATTGTCTCGCTTCCCAAGTGCTGCCTTGATGGAAATATTTAGCAGGAGCCAGGCCTCGGGGGTGTAAAAGCTGGAATGGCCATTCTGCCTGTCTCTCTGATGGGTGGCTCTTTCTGGAGCAATGGGTGTCTGGGGAAGCCATTTAACAAGCTTCTCAGTGACAGGGACTTGGATGGAGGAGGCCGCTCCCACCCCCTCCAGCCTTAAGGGGACTGATAAGTGATCATCAACCCCAAACAAACACTCACAGATGGAACTGAAGGACTGTAAAAGTCGCAGGGTGGGAGTGTGTTAAAGCCGGGTGGGCCCTCAGGCATCACTACATAGATGAGGAAACTGAAACCCAGACAGGGAAGGGACTGGCCCAATGCCCTATGGCCTCTTCCTAGCTGTAGCCCTCTGCCAGCCCCAATACTTGGCACAGTTTCTTGGAAGCTCCTTGCAGCTCTCAAGGTCCAAGAATCCAAAATAAGTTAATTTTCTTTTCTTTTCTTTTTCTTTCTTTCTCTCTTTCTCTTTTTTTTTTTTTTTTTTTTGAGACAGAGTCTTGTTCTGTCGCCAGGCTGGAGTGCAGTGGTGCGATCTCTGCTCATTGCAGCCTCCACCTCCGGGGTTCAAGCAATTCTCCTGCCTCAGCCTCCCGAGTAGCTGGGACTACAGGCACACAACACCACGCCCAGTTAATTTTTGTATTTTTTAGTAGAGACGGGGTTTCACCATGTTGGCCAGGATGGTCTTGATCTGTTGACCTTGTGATCAACCCGCCTCGGCCTCCCAAAGCGCAGGGATTACAGGTGTGAGCCACTGTGCCCAGCCAAGATGAGCTAATTTTCATGTAAAATATCCCAAGATGCTTAACCACATGGTTAAGGTCAACATCTAGAAATCCCATTACCCACAAGAAAGCATATTTACTCATTGTTTCTGTTTATCTTGTTAGAAAGTTGTCATACGTAGTACACATGCTTACACTCTCAAACAAGAGATGTTATGATCGGAACACTTTTTTGGCAAGTCACTCTTGGTCAACATCTGCTTCTGCTTTCTATAATGCAGCACTGTTTTCAGAATCTGTCTCAGTGTATTGGTCTGTTTATCCCTATGTTACATTTCCTTAAGACAGTTATGCTCTTTGAATTACTGTTTCATTTTAAATAACTTCTCAGTCTTCTACTGCACTATCAAACCATGCCTTGATAAGCTTCCCTTAACAGAGACTCTGCCTGCTAGCCCAGCATGATCCACTAGAAAAGTAATGTGAGCTACACGCGTAGTTGAAAACATCCTAGTAGCCACATTAAAAACATTTTTAAAGGGAAAATTCATTCTATCTATTGATTTAACTCAGTATATCAAAAATAGGATATGTCAACATATCATCAAAATAGCCAACTATTAATGAGAAATTTTACATTATCAATTCCTCCTAAGTCTTTGAAATGCGGTATGTGTTTCCATGCAGAGCCCATCTCCATTTGGACTTGTCACATTTCAAGGGCTGGATCGCCATGTGTGACTCATGGCTACAATATCAGACATCACAGCTCTAGACTTCTAATTCCAGCTTGAGGAAGTTGCTTTAAGGTAAGAAAATAAGACTTGAATTACTGAGGGGCTTTCCTAGGCCTAAGGGGCTTGTTGGGTACACAGACTGAGAGTGAGTTCTCTCAGCTACTCATAGTGGTCTTGAATTGCTTATATCTTGGTTCTCAGCTGCATTCCAAACTTCAGAGATAACCAAACAAGAGGTTGCCAGAAAAATGAAGCATTGCCCCAGTTTTATGAGAATGAATAATTTTCTAATATCCATTGTCTTTGATAAGAAAAGTGGACTCACATTCTAAGAAGCTTTTCAATAAACATAGATAGGTGACTTCATACCTAGCGCATACTTAATCACTTAAAAATAACTTTTTCTGGCTGTGTGTAGTGGCTCACACCTGTAATCCCAGCACTTTGGGAGGCTGAGGTGGGTGGATCACCTGAGGTCGGGAGTTTGAGACCAGCCTGACCAAAATGGTGAAACCCTGTCTCTACTAAAAATACAAAAATGAGCTGGGCGTGGTGGCAGGCACCTGTAATCCCAGCTACTTAGGAGGCTAAGGGCACAAGAATCACTGAAACCTGGGAGGCGGAGGCTGCTGTGAGCCAAGATTGCGCCGCTGCACTCCAGCCTGCACTTGGCAACAGAGCAAGACTTGGACTCAATCAAATAAAATTAAAAAATAAAACCAATGACTTTTCAGAGTGCAAGCATCAATTATCAAGATCATTCATCTCAGCCCAGATGGACTCAAACTCTTGCAGGTAGTTTGCTCTTGGACGTAACCCATGCATGCCGGATTCACAGGCACCCGCGTTTCTCCAGTGCTTCCTCTCCTCATCCCCTAGCAGATTCCACATGACCCTCTGGTACATCACAAGTCAAGCTAGATAATAACTGGTGCCCATGCTTTTGCCCCTTCCATTAGATCAAGAGTATTTCAGAGTTTGGAGCGAATGAGACTTCTTTATTTCTACATCTCCAGCAGCCAACTAGGCCTGCTGCAGGTGCTAATAAATGTTTATTGAATTTGTTAAAGAATTAATGAAGATAAAATGCTGCTGGAATGAAAATGTAGTGGGAAAAAAAACAGATGTAATGCTTTCCTCCAGGAGTAACAAAGGAGACCCCTAACAAATGCCTACCCCCTATGTCCTTATTGGACATTGGGTTGGCTGCCCTTGCTGGGCTCTGCCAGCTTTGAGAGTCTGTAAGCTTGTGGCATACAGTGGCAAATGCCCACACAGCTTAAGAGTTTCTTGCTCAGGATGACCATATAATTTATCATCCAAACCAGGACACATTTGAGGGAAATACAGCATGGAATTTACAATTGCTTCAGGTGTATAACTGCTCCAGTATAAACTGGGACTGGCTCTGGGCAAACTGGGAAGTGTGGTCACCTGCTTTTGCTCCCAGGAGCTTTCCCTGAGTGGGCAGAGTCCCCTGTGGGGAGCTCAAGTAGTGTGTTCTACCCACCTGAGTTTTGGTTACCCCAATCTTACGTCGAGGTCAACTGTTCTCTTTCAGGATATAAACTCAGGGTGTAGGGACTGTGTCCTTTTAATCTGCTCCACCTCTCTCTCTGATGTTGACTTCACACCACCAGATACACAGTAGGCTTCATGACGACCCACTGAATGGAAGAATTGGACTCCCCATCCCCATTGCATTCTCATCCACCCAAAAAATATTTGGTAAAGACTTAATTTGAACTAGTCCTCATGCTGGGCCCTGGGACAATAGACATTGGTGGGACCAACAAGGAATTTTCAATTTGTGGAGAAGACAGACTTGAAAATAAAGGAGTCTAGAATGGAGGTTGTCACAGCCAGGAGGGACGAGCAGAGGGAGAGACAGACTCTATCTGGGATAGGAAGAGGGTGGTAGAGAGGGTCATCAACAGGCACTGGTAGTTATTCTACTCAGCATCACTTCTTCTCCTGGTAACAGCACCTTGATTTTCCTTTAGGAAACTCTTCTGCCTTATCCTTTACCTGGGTGGTTCATTTGAGGCTAATCTTACACATTGGCCCCCAGGACGGATATGAGCCTCAAGCCTGGCCAGTGGGCGCAACACATATTCCTGGCCACAGGGAAAGTTTCAAGCATGGGCAGTTAATAGGGCCAATGAGTGTTGATGTTGGCATTTCTACTGGAGTGTTTAGGAAAGAGAAGCTCTCCTTCTTCCAGGAGCACTAAAGCTGGTATAATAATAGCCCAGAGATGTTCATGGTCATTTTGTCATCAACAAGAGAGAAACTCCTTGAGAATGAAGTCAACAAAGAGGAAAGCAGAGCCAAGAGATGGGAAGATCTGGTGGAATCATTTCAGGGCCTGGATCCAGCCATGCCTGAAACTGCATATTGACAGACCTCTCAATTTATTGAGCCACTGTATTCTCTTTTCATGCTTAAGCTAGTCTAGACTGGATTCTGTCACTTATAACGGGAAGACTCTTAATGGATATACCAAGTTGCACAGAGAGTGTAGTGCTAAGAGTAGGCAGTGAATAATGGCAGAGAAAGAGGCAGGGTCTTGCATGGGAGGGCGGTGGGGAGTAAGACCAAAGGCCCTGAGATGTGAAACAGCAACCCACGTTGTGATGCCCAGGGGTCAGCTCTGGGTGCCTGGTCTGCCCTGCCTTACCCGTTTGTCATATGCCATTCCATGGGGACAGTTGTTGGCTGACACAGTGAGTGTTACTGTGTCATTCAGGGAGGTAAAGGTGACCGTGATGGAGTCCTGTCCCAGCACCTTTAGCTTCATTTGCTCATTCACCTGTAGATAAAGAAACAGTACTCAGTGAATCTCTGCTTCAACGGTCCCACCCACCCTTTCCTGACCCACCACAAAGCACAAAGCCCCTGTTGGCTTGGGGCTGAAGATCTATAAGAGCTTTCCAGTTCTTGCATTAGAATTTAGCTTCATGGAGAAGACAGAAAAATTCCAGGCTCCCCTTGGGGATCCGCTGAAAAAGTAACTGATGCTTCCTTATTCCTGCTCCTTTCCTTTCCAAACCAAGCATGAAACCCACTGTGAAAGAGACACAGGCGTCTGGCAGGTGAGTCAGCTTCAGTTCCGGTAAAAATGGATTGGGAATGCAGCTTGGATCAGAGGGTAACCCTTTATCCCTGAGTCAGATAGATGTGTCCACTCAGGTACCAGGTCTGACTACGACTTTTGTCCTACAACAGTGGGAAGGTGACCACGTGGCAGGAAGCACCAAAAGCCCTCTGCAGATGGGAGGAAGATGTCAAAGAGTACCCAGAAGGGCCTGGGCTACACATACTCAGCCCCTTCCCTTAAAGTCACCAAATATGTCACTACTCTTTCCCTGAGGGGGAGCCAAAGATGGGTGGAAAAAGGTGCAGCTACTCTTTATCATCACTTCCAAAAGAGTAGGATTTCCTTTAAGCAGTAGAAGACTGCAACTTGGGGAGGATGAGTTGCCCTTAAAACAATTCACTCCTTACTGAGAGCTCTGTGGTCTATGGGTGAGTCCCAGTTCTGCCTCCTGATAACAAGCCATTTAGCTTTGCTGAATCTCAACTTCTTCCACATGAAATCATTGAAAGGCTATTATCAGGATCGAATGAGATAAAAAGGATGGAAATGGTTTTGTAAACCATTAAGGCCTATGTCCAGCATGAGCAGATACTGTCAGGACAAGGTAGAGCAACTCACATTTAAGGCTGCTGAACAAATTGCATGTGCAGAGCACAATTTATACACAGGGACCCTTCCTGAGAGTCTCAGAGTATACAGCCCTACACTGCTGGGCTTCTCTTAGTCTTCAATGTCCCTGACCTATAATATCCCCTTACTTACAAATACCTCCAGGATGCCTCTGAACCAAAAAACAAACAAACAAACAAACAAACAAACAAACAAACAAAACACTCTCTGCTTTGCTCCTTCCATTTCCTCCTACTATTCTAGTTGTTTGCCCAGGGATCTACACTTAAATTCTTTACTTTGAGTTTCTTCCTCATATCCTGCAATCTGAAGACTGGTTCCCTCTAGCACCCTGAAAGTATTGAACTATTACTTGCCAAGTCTTTTGACATCTTCAAACTTAATCACTATCACTTAAAAGAAACCTTCCTCTCTCTTGTCCTACTTCTAGAGGATTTGAGCAGGCATCAAATCCCAGCATTGCCCCTTACCAGCTGGGCAATTTTAGACAGACTGGTTAGCTTCTCTGAGCCTGGGGACAATAATAGTAAAAGGTAAAGTAAAAGTAAAAAGTTTTATCCCATGAAATTTTCTCATCGGATGCTTAGCAAATTTCAGCAGATTTCACAGCTTAGCACAGTGCAGCTTTTATTTATTATCCTTGCTTCCTGAGTTGTTTCTCTTTCTCTCCCACAACCTCCCAAGTATGGCAGCTCTACAAACCACAGACTTGTCTTCTTGAGAGTTCATTAGCCAGCCCATTATATCTTATCCATTATCCCCAATCTCTCACCTTAGGTCAGGGTCCACGTCACAGTAGCCCAGAGAGATATGGCCACTGAACCAAATAAGCATGTCTAAAACCATTTTGATCACGGATCCTCAGAAAATTCTGTTTCCACTCAGGCACATAATCCATCATGGAGTCATCTACAATTCCCTCCTCCTTTTATCTGTAAGGCCATGCCCATGCATCATTGAGTTATTTTATTGAAATGACCCCTTTAAAAAACATTGCCACCATTTGTAATGATGTTGGGTGTGGCTAGTAACTCCCCAACTGGTCTCTCCATGAGCCCATCCATTGGTCTCTCTCCAGTCAACCAAAAATGCTAGACTGAGCATTTCAGCCCTCAGCTTAAAAATCAACCAGCTGGTTCTACTTCCAGTATAGCTGAGTCAGTGACTGACAGTCTGCCTTCCTCATAGATAACTATAAACTTGAAAAAACAAACAAAAAACAACGACCCAAAGGCTATGAAGAGTGAACAAATGCAGGCAGACTTTGAAGAGGAGTCAAAATTTAAAAGAAAGGAGCAGCACGGGATAATGCTTTTACAGCTTTAGCCTGAAGGCTGACCAAACTCCACCATCTTTCTAGCCTGAAGAACCCAGAGGACAGAACCTGAAGCAACCACAGTCACAGGAACATGTGGAAAGAATTCCAGAAGGGATAGTGCAAGAGAAGGAGAGGCCAGAATTCTATGTATGAACTGTCCATGTCTCTGGCGGATCCTTGAACCATCCATGAGCAGGGAAGACTCAAGACACCTTATGGTTGAAAAGAACAACAAACATAAAAACTTGAACTGAGATGTGAGCTTCTGCAAGTGAAACAAAGTTTGTGGTTTCAGTCTAACCAAGTTCATTGCCTGTTAAAACAAGAATATCAACACTCTTCAGAGAAATACATCAGAATTCAGGGACTCCACCACACACCATTCACAATGTCCACCTACAGTCCAAAATTACTGAATATGTGAAGAACCAGTGACGTGTGAGCTCTTCTCAAAGCAACAGATAATCAACAGAGGTCAACCCTGTCTCATAAGACCCAGACATTGAAGTTTTCAGACAAGACCTTTAAAGCACTAATTTAACTACACTAAATTAGGTAAGGGAAAATGTACTTGTAAGAAATTATAACATATGAAATCTCAGCAGAGAAATAGAGAATATAGAAGTATCTATCTGAAATTTTAAATTGTTACATTATAATAATAGTAGAATGGAGATGACAGAATAAAGTTTTTGAACTTGAAGATAGATCAAGAGAAATTATCCAATCTCAAAAGTAAAGAGAAAACAAATGTGAATAACAACAACATAAGAGAACATAGGAACCCTTGGGACAATATCAAAAAGTCTAAAATAGATAAAATTGGAGTCTCAGAAGAAAAGAAGAAAGATTGTAGTAGTTTTTTTTGTTTTTTTTTTTTCCTAAAGAAGGTTTAGAAG